CTGGCAGGGCATGAAGTGGCGAATCACATGATGGCGGACTATCCAGGCTGCCTGCTCTCCACCGTACGTACCCCTCACTATGACGGGCTCACACTCATGTTCCCTTTTCTCCCGTATCACCATGGCTGGCAGGGCATGAAGTGGCGAATCACATGATGGCGGACTATCCAGGCTGCCTGCTCTCCACCGTACGTACCCCTCACTATGACGGGCTCACACTCATGTTCCCTTTTCTCCCGTATCACCATGGCTGGCAGGGCATGAAGTGGCGAATCACATGATGGCGGACTATCCAGGCTGCCTGCTCTCCACTGTACGTACCCCTCGCTATGACGGGCTCACACTCATGTTCCCTTTTCTCCCGTATCACCATGGCTGGCAGGGCATGAAGTGGCGAATCACATGATGGCGGACTATCCAGGCTGCCTGCTCTCCACCGTACGTACCCCTCACTATGACGGGCTCACACTCATGTTCCCTTTTCTCCCGTATCACCATGGCTGGCAGGGCATGAAGTGGCGAATCACATGATGGCGGACTATCCAGGCTGCCTGCTCTCCACCGTACGTACCCCTCACTATGACGGGCTCACACTCATGTTCCCTTTTCTCCCGTATCACCATGGCTGGCAGGGCATGAAGTGGCGAATCACATGATGGCGGACTATCCAGGCTGCCTGCTCTCCACCGTACGTACCCCTCGCTATGACGGGCTCACACTCATGTTCCCTTTTCTCCCGTATCACCATGGCTGGCAGGGCATGAAGTGGCGAATCACATGATGGCGGACTATCCAGGCTGCCTGCTCTCCACCGTACGTACCCCTCGCTATGACGGGCTCACACTCATGTTCCCTTTTCTCCCGTATCACCATGGCTGGCAGGGCATGAAGTGGCGAATCACATGATGGCGGACTATCCAGGCTGCCTGCTCTCCACCGTACGTACCCCTCGCTATGACGGGCTCACACTCATGTTCCCTTTTCTCCCGTATCACCATGGCTGGCAGGGCATGAAGTGGCGAATCACATGATGGCGGACTATCCAGGCTGCCTGCTCTCCACCGTACGTACCCCTCGCTATGACGGGCTCACACTCATGTTCCCTTTTCTCCCGTATCACCATGGCTGGCAGGGCATGAAGTGGCGAATCACATGATGGCGGACTATCCAGGCTGCCTGCTCTCCACCGTACGTACCCCTCGCTATGACGGGCTCACACTCATGTTCCCTTTTCTCCCGTATCACCATGGCTGGCAGGGCATGAAGTGGCGAATCACATGATGGCGGACTATCCAGGCTGCCTGCTCTCCACCGTACGTACCCCTCGCTATGACGGGCTCACACTCATGTTCCCTTTTCTCCCGTATCACCATGGCTGGCAGGGCATGAAGTGGCGAATCACATGATGGCGGACTATCCAGGCTGCCTGCTCTCCACCGTACGTACCCCTCGCTATGACGGGCTCACACTCATGTTCCCTTTTCTCCCGTATCACCATGGCTGGCAGGGCATGAAGTGGCGAATCACATGATGGCGGACTATCCAGGCTGCCTGCTCTCCACCGTACGTACCCCTCGCTATGACGGGCTCACACTCATGTTCCCTTTTCTCCCGTATCACCATGGCTGGCAGGGCATGAAGTGGCGAATCACATGATGGCGGACTATCCAGGCTGCCTGCTCTCCACCGTACGTACCCCTCGCTATGACGGGCTCACACTCATGTTCCCTTTTCTCCCGTATCACCATGGCTGGCAGGGCATGAAGTGGCGAATCACATGATGGCGGACTATCCAGGCTGCCTGCTCTCCACCGTACGTACCCCTCGCTATGACGGGCTCACACTCATGTTCCCTTTTCTCCCGTATCACCATGGCTGGCAGGGCATGAAGTGGCGAATCACATGATGGCGGACTATCCAGGCTGCCTGCTCTCCACCGTACGTACCCCTCGCTATGACGGGCTCACACTCATGTTCCCTTTTCTCCCGTATCACCATGGCTGGCAGGGCATGAAGTGGCGAATCACATGATGGCGGACTATCCAGGCTGCCTGCTCTCCACCGTACGTACCCCTCGCTATGACGGGCTCACACTCATGTTCCCTTTTCTCCCGTATCACCATGGCTGGCAGGGCATGAAGTGGCGAATCACATGATGGCGGACTATCCAGGCTGCCTGCTCTCCACCGTACGTACCCCTCGCTATGACGGGCTCACACTCATGTTCCCTTTTCTCCCGTATCACCATGGCTGGCAGGGCATGAAGTGGCGAATCACATGATGGCGGACTATCCAGGCTGCCTGCTCTCCACCGTACGTACCCCTCGCTATGACGGGCTCACACTCATGTTCCCTTTTCTCCCGTATCACCATGGCTGGCAGGGCATGAAGTGGCGAATCACATGATGGCGGACTATCCAGGCTGCCTGCTCTCCACCGTACGTACCCCTCGCTATGACGGGCTCACACTCATGTTCCCTTTTCTCCCGTATCACCATGGCTGGCAGGGCATGAAGTGGCGAATCACATGATGGCGGACTATCCAGGCTGCCTGCTCTCCACCGTACGTACCCCTCGCTATGACGGGCTCACACTCATGTTCCCTTTTCTCCCGTATCACCATGGCTGGCAGGGCATGAAGTGGCGAATCACATGATGGCGGACTATCCAGGCTGCCTGCTCTCCACCGTACGTACCCCTCGCTATGACGGGCTCACACTCATGTTCCCTTTTCTCCCGTATCACCATGGCTGGCAGGGCATGAAGTGGCGAATCACATGATGGCGGACTATCCAGGCTGCCTGCTCTCCACCGTACGTACCCCTCGCTATGACGGGCTCACACTCATCCACACATCGTTATTTTGTTTTCTCCTTGACCTCCGTTTGACCCTCGTTTTAACTGACACGTCCATGGTTACATTCTCACGCTGGGCTCCGTGTTTTCCTCACTCACTCACTCACTAGCTCACTCTCTCTCTCCCCACGTTCCAATCTCCACCACACTCTCTCCTGCTCTGGATTCACCATGCCGCACATGCAGCACCAGGCGCACAGCCATGTGTACAGGCTCGTTTTAGGCTCCGTGTTTCCCTCTGTGAGGGGGTACTATCCCCACTCACTCCACTCCACCTTCCACTCTCCCGTGTTGCTGCTTTCCCCCGCCAGGGCTATGGCTTTGCCACGCCACACATGCAGCACAGGGCGCACAGCCACGGGTACAGGCTCGCCCTGGGCTCCGTGTTCCCCCTGGATCCGCTTTTCAAGGGCTGTGGGGCCATCCTTGCCCGCTTCTGCCTGTGGAAGGTCGGTGATACTGGTCATGCATTCTGTACTGGTTTCTGAGTCAGCCTGCTCCTGGGATCCGCTTTTCAAGGGCTGTGGGGCCATCCTTGCGCGCTTCTGCCTGTGGAAGGTGAGTGAGTGGTCCCTGTTGTATGATAAGGTTTTGAGACGCCTGAAGAGTGCACCACAGGGCGCACAGCCATGGGTACAGGCTCGCCCTGGGCTCTGTGTTTCCCCTGGATCCGCTCTTCAAGGGCTGCGGGGCCATCCTTGCCCGCTTCTGCCTGTGGAGGGTGGGTGCAGCGTTTCTTACTTGTGGCTGCTGTGAGGTGACTTCTTCTTGTCAAAGACTTCCACTGTTGTCCTTTATGCCTCCTGGATTGGTCATTGAGTCACTCTGTTGCCCTGAGACCCACTCTGTTGCCCTGAGACCCACTCTTCAAGATCTTGGGGTATTCCTGAGCCTTCCCGTATGATTGATTTTACATCAAAAAAATGTCTCACAAACCATTATCATCACAAGCCATGATCATTTAAAAAATATCTTAAAGATTCCCACTCCATCCATCCATTCCCTCACCCTTATGCCCGATGCATAAGTATCCAGGGCCCATCATTATCTGAAAACTCCCACATACACTCCCACTCCATCCATCGATTCCCTCCTCCTTCCTCCCATACAGATGTATCCAGGAGCCATTATCATTCTTCACGATCGCCCGCAGCAGGGCCCACAAACCAACCATGTAAGCCCCGCTCTCTGCGTACTCGCCTTGGTGTTGCATGTTGACATTTTCGTGATGTTGTTGTACGATTTTTGTTTTCGTGATATTGTTGGCCTTGGTATGGTTTATAGGCTTTCCCACTGGCCTTTCTGTTGCTCCTGGTGCTTACTGGCCAATTTTCCGTATCCATTTCCTCTCACTTGATCCTCTTTACTCCTCTCATGCAAAACTGCCACCTCTGGTGCCCTGCCGACTCTTATCCACCATCTTGTGTACCTCCATGGGCAGATTCTGCGGATTTTGCTGCCCGAGTTGAAGCAACAAGGCTACAGAATAGTGAACCTGACCGAACTGGTGAACAGTGTAAACTGCAAAGAAGTCAGTCAGGTGAATGGGGGAAAGCAGGACTAACAAAGACGAGGGAGATATCAAGGGTTGTGGTGTAGAAGCAGTGAGCAATTGATTTGTCATCTGGATCGAACGAAACCGTGGAACCACTGCAAGGCAAGGCATGTCTATGTGGGGGGCTAAGGCATGAAGTAGCTGCAAACATATTAGTGATGGTGCCAATAAAGCTATTACCGTACATTGTTTACTGCTGATGTGTACATTCACTTCATAGCTCACAGACTTTGAAACGGGAATAGTGTTGCCGAGACAACTCTCATCTGGCTTTCGATTTCAGGTAACTACTTCGCCACGGGTCGCTCAAACCCCGTCTCTGTCGCAACCATGAAATTGTCGTAACCACTTCCGTGGCTCGTCGCCTATCGCCTTGGCTCCTCCTCCTGACACATGTACCACCACACCACCAGAGTGGCGAATTTGTTAGGCTTGTGCTTTGTCAGTTCAAATTTGGCGAGCTTCTTGAGAGGAGAAGCAGGTGTTATCTTAGTAGCTGCTGGCGAAGTAAAAGGGCTTCCCGTTTGCCGCCGAACTCCACTATATTGGTAACCGTCGTCGACGCTGTCGTCGGATCAATATCTTCGCGATGTTGGCTTCCCCAGGTCATTCCCCGCGCCACATCAGCTCGCCTCCTCCCACTTCCGAGCCTCCCTCGCCCCCTTCCGGCTCGAAAAACTCCCCTCCGGCAAAAGCCGCTTCAGCCAAATCATTACCGCTTACAACCGCACTTACCACGTCTGGTATTATCACTCTCTCCGCCACCCCTCGGCGGGGGGAGCGCATGGGTCCCCCTCCCACGAAGCGTCCGCGTCCTCGCCGCGCGCCAGTTGTTCTTGACGAGGACACTTATATCGAAGCAATCGAGCGGATCGTTCAGCGGGATTACTTTCCGGATCTCCCGCGGCTCCAGAACCGGCTGGAGTGGTTGGAAGCGGTGCGATCTGGTGATCCTGTGCTGATTCGCGAGGCGCAGGTGAATATTTTACGAAGACGCGCGGAAGCTTCTGCTGCTGCTGGTGGAGGGTCGAGCCGCGGGAGCGAGGGACGGAGTGACTTACGTAGTGGATTAAGGAGCGGTCGAGGCGGTTCCACCCTATCGACTCCCGCGCTTTCCGCGGGCGCGCCTAGTCCCGCGCCTAGCCTCTTATCCGAAGGCGATCTAAGGACGTCGGAGTGGGATAGAGATGAGGAGAGACTAACAGGGCGGAGGATAGGTAGCAGGGGGAGAGTATCGGGAGATTTAGCAGCAGCAGCAGCGGCGGCGGCCGCGGCGGGGGCAGTGGGGATGGAAGGAGACAGTAGGATTGGAGAGGGAGAGGGGGGCGGAGGACCCGATACAAGCTTGTCGCTTGACGAATTTGTTAAGAGGTACACCAGCGAGGATAACGCTTCGTTTGTGGAGATTAAGGAGAAGGATAATCGCCGGCGCATGGCTAAGGTAGCGCATCTGCTAGCATTGGAACAAGGCCCAGGGGGGGGAGCGGAAGGGGGAAAAGGGGGGGAGGAAGGGGGAAAAATTGGTTCGGGGCAGGCAGGGGTGAAGCAGCTCACTGGCTCAGGAGACGCGGTGAAGCTTATAACTTGGACGGGTGAGAACGAGGACCGGAAAACGGACGGGTTTGGGTCGACGGGGCAACCGACTAGTACACTCGAAACGTGGAAATACACTGCGCGTAATGCGCTGATGTACCCACCTGCTTGTAGAGAGGATGCCCCTTTTTCCGTGAGAGAAAAGGAGCTTCGATCAGCAGGACCACCTAAGGAAGTCCATAAAGCGAACACGAGGTTTCACGGGAGTGCCACGGGTGGTGGTAACCAGACGGCGCAGCAGCAGAAGCAGCCTCCAGAGGAAATATCTGCGGCTCTGTTCACGCCGTTACCTGGGGGTACCCCACTGCCTTACATAGACCCTTCGGGGGAACGCGACGGGAGAAAGAGATACGATTTGGAGGATCTGAGGAGAACACCTGTAGGAGTGGGGATAGCAGGAGGAGCAGGAGGAGCAGGAGGGGCAGGAGGGGCAGGAGGGGCAGGAGGGGTAGGAGGAGTGGGAAGAGGAGGAGACGGTAGAGGGCAGCAGCAGTCAGAATACGACTATGTAGCAACCCCGTCTCCTGCTCCTGGCGTTGATGCCTCCCCTTTCATGACCTGGGGAGAGCTAGACGGCACGCCGCTGCGTCTAGACGCTGAGGACACTCCAGTGGGGTTCAACGAGATAGGAGGGGTGGGCGCTGGGGGGCCGCAATTCACACCTGTGAGAGGGATCGGAGGGGGAGGAGGAGGAGGGATGATGTCTCCTTTTGTGTCTCCTGGACTGAAAGGCACGACGCCTGGTGGCGGTGCTGCTGGGATGGGCACATGGGGAGGGCAGAGTCCGTTGGTGAGCGGAGGAGGGGGGTTAGGAGGGCCGTCGGGAGGGGGATTATCGGCAGCAGCACAGAAGCTGGTGTCTCGGGCTATGAAACGGAGTAAAGTGATTGTTGATCCGAAGCTGAGAGCGAGTTACTCGGCTTCTCCTGCTGGGGTTGGGAGTGTGGGGAGTGGGGGGAGGGATGGGAGGAGCAGGAGTAGGAGCAGGAGCAGGAGTGTGGTGGGGACACCGGAGCAGAGGAGAGGGCGTTTGGGCACGCCTGGGTCTGTTGCTGGTGGTGCTGACTCGCCTGTTGTGATTCGGTCGCTGAGAGGGACTGTTCTGAATCCCATCGCTGCCACTCCGCCACCATCAATGCTGCAGAAGAAATGAGGAGATAATGTGCATTGCTGTTGCAGTGGGATCGGTTGCTGCTGCTGACTCGCCTGTTGTGATATGGTTGCTGAGAGGGACTATTCTCAATCCCGTTGCTGCCACGCTGCCACCAGCAGTGCAGCATAAGAAATGAGGAGGTGGCTTGCGTTGCTTCAGAAAGGGGTTTTGTTGCTGCTGGCAACTCGCCTGTTGTGATTCGGTCGCTGGAAGGGACAGTTCTCAATCCCATTGCTGTCACGCCGTGACGCCGCCACCATCAGTGTGGCGTAAGAAATGAGGAGACGGTGTGCATTGCTGTGGGAAGGTACCGTATTACCCCGGATAGAAGCGCACCTGCGCTTATAATAAAGCAGAGTTTTTTAGGGGGGTGCGCTTCTAATTGAGTCATTTTTATAAGCGCATGCGCTTATATAATGACATAGACGAATTTATAAATTGAAGGCACCAAATTGTATGTTTCACTCTTGCCATTTCAACCGAGTCAAAAATTTTCGCGTCACAATCCAGAATCTCCTGCAAGCGATTCTCTTCCAGCACACTGGGGCCAAGATGCGACACTTTGCAGTCATGCCAGCACATCCTGACTGGACGCGCAGCCAGTCAGGTCTTCGAGAGTCAAACTCAGCGAAAATGAGATTGTACTCGCTTCAAAATTGAAACTCGCTACCGTTTCGAACAGAAATTTTAATTTAAAATTGTACTTGCGCTTATAATAAGTAACGTTTTCACAGGGGGTGCGCTTATAATTGAGGATCGGCCATAAGCGCATTGCTCCAGATAGAAGCGCATGCGCTTATAATAGGCCTGCGCTTCTATCCGGGGTGATACGGTATTCATTGCTGTTGACTCGCCTGTTGTGATTCGGTCGCTGAGAGGGACTGTTCTCAATCCCATCTCTGCCACGCCACCACCATCAGTGCTGCATAGGAAATGAGGAGACGGCTTGTGCGCTGCAGCAGGGAGGCCCGTTGCTGCTGATTGTCTTGTGATTCAGTCGATGACAGGGACATCCCACCATTGCTTAGTAACTAGAGAACGGCAAATATGGCAGACTGCTGCAACAAGGTTTTACGGTATTGTAAAATCTTTTGCCTGTCGGTGTAAGGTGGGAATTCAATTTGTACTGAGCTGTTGCACATTTGTTTGATACTGGTACCTCGTCCCTTGTGAAAGAGCCTTGACTCAGGTAAATTTGAAGGCAGTTTTCTAGGGCAGTTGCGTGAGTGGTAGAAGATGAACTTTTGTTGTGTTGTGTAGTCGCAACTGGCATCAACTGTACACATCTACAGTAACATCTCATGTCCTGTTAGCTATGCAACAACCACCTCCTCTTCATCATCAGAATCAATCGCCAATATGATCTCCTTCCCGCCCTCCCTCCCACCTTCCCACCCTTCCTCCCACCTTCCCGCCCTCCCTCCCACCTCTCCGCCCTCCCTCCCACCTCTCCGCCCTCCCTCCCACCTCCCCGCCCTCCCTCCCACCTCTCCGCCCTCCCACCCACCATGTACCAGTTAATCACATGCACCGTAGGCATTGGTACCCTCCTACCGTACGCAACCACCACCACCTCGTCATCAGAATCTATCGCCACTATAATCTCCTCCCCACCCGCCCTCCCTCCCACCACCATGTAATCACCTGTGGGTAGTGTCACCTATGCAAACACCACCTCCTCTTCATCATCAAAATCAATCGCCACTATAATCTCCTCCCCACCCGCCCTCCCACCGAACTCCAACCCTACCCCTCCAATCCCGTCCTCATGCGCGTATATGCTCGACTCCAACAGATGTTCGCCACTCGGCTGCCCCCTGATACACAACCACCACCTCGGCCGCCAACATCTACAGGAACATCATACTGTGTTACGGCAGCTATGCAACCACCACCTCCTCTTCATCATCAGAATCAATAGCCACTATAATCTCCTCTCCACCTCCCTCCCTCCCACCAAACTCCAACCCAATCCCTCCAATCCCCTCTTCATGCGCGTATATACTCGACTCTAGCAGATGTTCTTGTAACGCATGGTGCTCATATCGAGACATCCCATGCACAGTATCATGCACGTGCGAATCGACTGTAGCTTGCACGTGCCTGTGCATGAGGCCATGGCCAGTCGTATCCTCCATATGGTGTAGTGCGTTACTATGCACATGGTGGTCTGGGATAGAAGGGTGTATGTGGCTGTGTAGCTGCCTTGACTGATAGGCCATTTGAGGATGTGGGTAGATGAATGGCTGAGGGGGAATAGCTTGTGAGTGAGGGTGAGGGTGAGTGTGAGAGTGAGAAAGAGAGTGAGGGTGAGATTGGGAGTGCGGGTGAGAGTGAGAGTGAGGGAGAGGGTGAGGGTTATAAGGTTGCAGCTGATGATGCATCAAATAAGGATGCATGTAAGGAGCATGGCTCTGATCATGCTCATTCAGCCGCTGCGGGTGATGGTCATTCAGGCGTTGCTGGCGATGGTAATACTGATGCTCCTCAAGTGAAGGGTCTGTGAGCTGATGATGATGGTTAAACGGATGTTGGATATGATGGTATGGCATAGACACTGGATAGCCAAACGCCTTGGGCTGATCATAGGCATTCTCTGTCCTTTGCCGGACCCTCCTCCTTCCAACACTACCGTCCATCTCACTCTCCTCTTCTTCACCTTCCTCCCTTTCCACTCGACCCTTCGAAACCGTTTTTCCAGCCTGTTCGACTCCTTCCACCGCATTCAATTCCTCCATGCCGCTTTGCACTCCTGCTCCTTCTCCAGCATCGGATATGTCCACCCAGTCGTTTTGACTGGCGTGATGTGTGAGGGACGGAGGGAGGGACGGAGGGAGGGACGGAGCGAGGGTGTCGGATTGGTGAGGGAGAGAGGGAGGGAGGTTGGCAGTATGGTGGGTGAGGGAAGGAGGGAGAGAGGTGGGGTGGTGGGTGAGGGAAGGAGGGAGAGGTGTGGGGTGGTGATGGCGGGAACGAGGGAGGGAGGTGGGGTCGTGAGGGAGGGGTGAAGCAGGGTCAGCTTGATGCGGCAGGAGGAAATGAGTGGATGGGTCCCCATGGTGAAATGGTGATGTGGGGTGATATGCTGGGGTGGAGGCAGGGTAATACTTGGCTGTTGCTGCTTCTCTTGATGCTTCTGCTGCACTTCCTGTTCCTGTTCCTGCTGGTGCTGTTGCTGCTGCTGCGGAGAAAGGGAGCTGAAACGCAGGTGAAAAAGGGGGAGGCGTGGAGGAAGGATCAAGGTGGGGGTAGTGATGAGGAGGATATGTGACAGGAGGAGGAGGATGGTGGTGGTACGAGGGTTGGTGTGACGAGGGGAAGTCCAAATGGCCCGTGGGAAGAAGGTATGGGTATGGCATGTGGGAAGGAGTTGTTGCGAATGGGTGCATGTGCGCTGCATATGCCATCTGCTCCTGAAAAGCATGTTGCTGGTTTTGAGTCGGATTCTGGTGTTGCTGTTGATGCTGCAGCTGCTGCTGCTGGTCGTTCTGTTGCCGCTGCTGCTGCTGCTGCTGCTGCTGCTGCTGCTGCTGGTTCTGCAGCTGATTATTATAATGAGCTCTAGAACCGTGCTCCTCCTGATCCTCCTGAGCGTCCCCCTCCACATCTAGCTCATGCTCAAAACCCACCTGAGCACCCACCTGAGCATACTGCTTATTCACCTGAGAAAACTCCTCTGGCATTCCCAGGTCAGAGCTCTCAAAATTCACCTGTGCATTCACCTGAGTCTCTTTGCTTGGAGGTTCTGCAGCACCTGAAGCGCTGGCAGGACCTGAGGCCTCAGCAATACCTACAGAAACACCTGAAGCAACACCTGAAGTCAAAACATCGCAAGCACCTGAGAACACATCCACACCGAGCCCCTTCAATTCACCTGACCTGTCCCTGTCAGGTGTTTTCCCAGCTTCAGGTGAATCTCTAGTTCCAAGCGGCTCCAACAAATTGGCAGCAGTCCCATCCATTGGGGCAGTTGTAGCAGCAGCAGCAGCTGTAGCAGCAGTAGCAGCATTGGCGGCAGTGGCAGCAGTGGCAGCTGGAGCAGAAGTGGCAGCTACAGAAGCTGCAGCGTCAGACAGGTGTTGCTGCTCCAATGAGCCAATGGCAGGTCCGGATTCCAAGCCATCTGACACCGAACCAGCAGTCACCGAATCTGCTAGCGCCAAACCTGCTGGCACCGAACCTTCTGTCACCAAGACTCCTGATACCGTGCCTCGTGGACGTTTGTTTGATTGTCCTTGTGCTGTCTCTTCTGCCCCCTCAAGCCGAGCCTCACTTGTAGCCTTGGCTTGAGCCTCAGCCACAGCTTCGGCATGGATTTCAGCTTCGAAATAACGCATTTCACTCCCTGATACCACACCACACTCCGCTGCTGTGGCTGCCTCTTCTGCTGCTGCTGCTTCTGCTGATGCTGCTGCTGTCGGCCCTGCTGCTACAAATGCAGCAGGCACAGCAGGAGCAGTATTGGCAGAAGCATTGGCAGTGGCACCGGTCACAGCATCACCAGCAGCATTGGCAGCAGCATTTACTCGGGCTGCTACCATTGTTGCTTCTGCTGTTGTTGCTGCTGCTGTCGCTGGTGCTGCTACTGTCGCCGATGTTGCTGTTGGTGCTGTTGCTGTGGCAGTTGCTGTTGTTGCTGCTGCTGTTGCTGCTTCTGTTGTTGTTGTTGCTGTTGCTTTTGCTGCTGCTGTTGCCGCTACTGTTGTTGTTGCTGTTGTTGCTGCTGCTGTTGCTGCTGCTGTTGCTGCTGTTGTTGCTGCTGTTGTTGCTGCTGCTGTTGCTGCTGCTGTTGCTGCTGTTGTTGCTGCTGCTGTTGCTGCTGCTGTTGCTGCTGCTGTTGCTGCTGCTGTTGCGGTCGAGTCTGCTGCTGTTGCTGCCCCTGTGGATTTTTGCCAATGCGGAACCAAATGCATTTTTCCTGTGGATTCTTGTTGCGCCTGCTGCTGCTTTTGTTGCTGCTCTTGCTGGTGTGTGCGTTGCGTTTCAGACACATAGGAGGAAGCAGAAGCAGGGAGAGTAACAGTGGCCGAACCAGAAGCAGCCGAACCAGGAACAGCCGAACCTGGAGCAGCCGAGCCAGGAGCAGCCGAACCAGGAGCAACCGAACCAGGAGCAACCGAATCAGGAGCAGCCGAACCAGGAGCAATCGAACCAGGAGCAACCGAACCAGGAGCAACCGAACCAGGAGCAGCCGAACCAGGAATAGCAGCCTTTTGCTGTTGATACTGCGGCTGCTGCTGCAGCTGCGAGTGTTGTGGCTGCACTTGAGAGGGTTGTACCTTCCTGTGTTGCGACTGTTGCTTCTGTGGTTGCGTTGCCTGCAGCTGCTGTGGTAACTGCTGCACCTGTGACGACCGTTGCTGCACTGTGTGTAATTGTGGCGGTTGTAGCTGTGGCGGCTGTAGCTGCTGTTGGAAGGTCTGCAAAAACGACACTGAAGGGGCGACTCCTTGCACCCTGTATCTGGCTGCTCCTGATAAACTCCCTGCTACAACCCCTGTTCCTGCTACAACCCCTGTTCCTGCTACAACCCCTGTTCCTGCTACAACCCCTGTTCCTGCTTCAACCCCTGTTCCTGCTACAACCCCTGTTCCTGCTACAACCCCTGTTCCTGCTACAACCCCTGTTCCTGCTACAACCCCTGTTCCTGCTACAACCCCTGTTCCTGCTACAGTCCCTGTTCCTGCTACAACCCCTGTTCCTGCTACAACCCCTGTTCCTGCTACAGCCCCTGTTCCTGCTACAACCCCTGTTCCTGCTACAACCCCTGTTCCTGCTACAGCCCCTGTTCCTGCTACAGCCCCTGTTCCTGCTACAGCCCCTGTTCCTGCTACAGCCCCTGTTCCTGCTACAGCCCCTGTTCCTGCTACAGCCCCTGTTCCTGCTACAGCTCCCGTTCCTGCTACAGCCTCTTTTCGTGCTCCAGCCCCTGCTATACCTGCTGTTCGTGCTACAGCCGTTCCTGTTACTGCTACAGCCCCTGTTCGTGCTACAGCCGTTCCTGTTCCTGCTACAGCCGCTGTTCGTGCTACAGCTGTTCTTGTTCCTGCTACAGCCGCTGTTCGTGCTACAGCCCTTGTTCCTGCTACAGCCGCTGTTCTTGCTACAACAGTGCCTGTTCCTGCTACAGCCCCTGTTCCTGCTACAGCCTCTGTTCTTGATACAACAGTACCTGTTCCTGCTACAGGTAGTGCTGTACTCATACCCGATACAGCCGCTCCCATTTCTGCTACAGCAGCTGACTGAGCTCCTGCTACAGCCGGCGGCGCTGTTGGCCCACTCAAGCTGTTTCCTGCCTTCGCCCCTCCAGCTGCTGCTCCTGCTACAGCCGGTGGCGCTGCAGCTCCTGCTACAGCGGGTGGCGCTGCAGGCCCGACTGCTGCCTTCGCCCCTCCAGCTACAGCACCTGCTTTGCTGATTTCCCCAGCAACCCTTGCTGCTGCTACAGCCGAAGCTGCAGAACCAGCTGCTGTTGGTTCTGCTCCTGCTGCTACAGCCACTGCTACAGCCCCTGCTTCAGGCCCTGCTCCTGCGACAGTGCTATTTGCTACAGTGCCTGCCACTCTAGCCGCGGTTGTAGCCGCTACAGCTGCAGGTCTTCCTGTGCGGGGTCCTGACATACCGTCTGCTGCTACTGCTGCTGCTTCTGCTGCAAAATCCCCTTCTCCTAGAATCCCTGATGCTGCTTCAGGTGCTGCTGCTAAAGGGGATGCTGCTACAGTTGCTGGTGCTACAGCCGTTGCTGCTACAGACGATGCTGCTTCAGGGGAATCTGCTATAGCTCCGCCTCTCCCCCCCCCTCCCACTCCCGCTATGGCTGCCCCCTCCCCTGCCCCACTCCGCCCCCCTCTCCCCCCACCTCCCTGTCTCCCCCCAGCAACACCCCCCCTGCCCTGCGCCCCTGTCCTTTTCCGCTCCGCAATCCCCTCTTCCCCCATGGCTTCCCCCAAAATGCTCCGCTCTCCCTCGCCCCTTTCTGCGCCCCCCGCGCCAACCCGCGCCTCCGCTGCGCCAACCTGCGCCTCCCCCGCGCCAACCCGTGCACCCCCCACGCGAACCCGCGGCTCCCCTGCGGCAAACTTCTTCAGCGCAGCTTCCAGCTCCGCAAACTTGCTTCCCCCGAACCCGCCTGCCCCTGCAACGTTCCCCCTAGTTTTGCCCCCCCCAACTCCGCCAGTTCCGCCAGCTCCCGCGGAAACATCCGCGTTTCTGACCTCCTCGGGAACATCTGCTATATTCAACGAACCATCAATCAGAGCTGTGAGTATGTGGTTCGACGAGTCGATTAACCAATTAACTACACTAGAAGCCGAAGCGCGCTTAATCTTACGCCTCCCCAGCAACTGCTGAAGGCGGAAAAAGCGGTCCGCGGTATCCGGGTTTAACCTAATCATCGTATTCTTCCCGCCAGATGCTTTCTTATGCCGATCCTTGCTACGATCTGTACTCTTGCTTCGATCTGAGCCGTTCGTCAGTCGACGCGCAGGATTGGAGGAGAGCGGCGCGGCTCCGGTTGCTGACGTGGATGGAGTAACGACGGGATTCGCGGCGAGGATGCTAGGAGGTAGGAAAGGGGTAGCCGAAGATGGGGCCGCAGATGCGAGGGAAGCAGGGGCAGCGGTGGTGGCTACAGCGGAGGCGTTCGCGGCGGCAGCGGCGGAATTGCGTGCTGCGCGCTTGACGTCCATGGCGGCAAGTAACTCACTGGAGATTTCAGGTAACTGATCTAGAGAATGAAGTTTAGATCACACAATGGGCAGGGCCTGCCAAAAAAGGACCCTCACTACGAGCCTCGGGAATTCCGTTGTGATGAACTCCGTTCTTTTAGACTGATATCTCAATCATCCGCACTGTGGTACACCATCATGCTTGCACTATGAGCCTTTACAAAAGAATTGGAAGAACCAGAAAATTGGCAGACATTATGCAATAATGCAACAACCATCAATGATACAGATGCTACGGGAACCAGAGTGAAAGTCGTCATGCTTTAAATATATCTTGTGAATGCTTGAGATACCATATAATTTTGATCAAGACTAACCTGTTTGTGGCATGTACCGTAAAACTGATGTCTTAGGTTGAACACACAATCATGCTTATTTCTCCTTCCGCTGTTAGAAGTACCGGTAAGCAAGGAATGCCTATTGCTTTTGCTTTGCCTTCTCCTCTAATTCCTCCTCGGCGGTTTCCTTATTAGCCAGAGCTACCAAGCAAAGCCCAGCACAAATGCACAATGCACCCACAAACCACCTAGGCTTTAACTCCTCCCCCAGCAGCAGAACCCCTAATGCACCAGACCAAAGAATGGAACAGGAGCTGCTGATCATGGTCGCCCCAAGAGACGAGATCCCCTCCATGGACTCGATATAAGAATGCCACATTCCTACTGTTAAAAATAAAACACCGCCGTAACAGACAATGGAAATAACTGCGTCGGCGGCACCGTAGGCGTCTAGTAGTGTGAGTGGGGATAGGAGAGGGAAGGAGCGCCACGAGCCGGAAAGGCGGGCGAGGATGGGTTTGCAGGCGCCGATGAATCCGGCGAAGATGCAGAGGAGGAGAGATCGCTGGAGGGATGGTCGAGCCATGTTACGGAATTCTGAGAAAACGTGGCGCCAGGAGGGGGATAAACGGGATGAGCCAATGCCGTAGGGGTCTGCTGATCAGCAAAATCAATTATTAAATGAGAGAGGAAGAGAGAGGTCGAGTGATCCGATGGCGCACTAGAATGAACTAAACGTAACGGACGCGCTGAAGGTGGAGGTGAAACGCCTAAGAATGTCAAGATCGACGCGGTGGAAAGGCTGAGACACGGAACGGCGCGTCAAAGGAGAATCGGGGGCTACAAAGAATGCGGAAGCAATGCGACTTGTAGACTTCTGTATAGGCGTGAGAGACCCAGCGAACACTAGAGCTGATCAGAGTTTACGGACTCCATGGAGGTCGTAGCAGATCCACCAGAACTACACCAACAAACTTGTGAATGGAGGCATTCGAAACAAGGCAGGGAGTTTCCCGACGATTTGGAGTGTCCGATCATTTCTCGAACTGATCCTGGCCTCGTTTTGCGACACAACTGATCTCGAAGCACGCTTGTTACGCCGGTCGCTAACGGTGGGCCGAGGGAACCGAAACGCTCGCGAAATCATTCATCTTTCGGCATTCTTGTTGGCAAAAACGATCGACCATCTAACGGGGAAAACTTCTCAAGATTCGTGAAAACTGAAGCACACCTGAAACATTCATGGAACGGGCCCTTTAGATTCATTTCCTGGGAACACCGAGTACTTACAAAGCGCGTACAAATTGGCAATAAAGCAGACCATGTAAAGCAGCCACTCCAGACCCTCCCTACGTCACCCTCTGCGGGGTTCGCCAGCCATCATTGCGAAATTCGCCAGCCATGGCATCCGCCGTGCGGCTGTTGCGACATCACTCTCGCGAAGCAGACTCCGCAATTCGCCGATTAACTTGTAGCTACACGTCTACTCGCGCCTATGCCACAGGCGCCACACCCGCCTTCCCCCACACCCGCCGTCCGTTCCCCGCTCCATCAGCGATCGGCGCAGCATCCCCGCTTGCACCCGCCCCGCGCGCCGATCCTCCCGCCTCTTCCGCTCAAGCTCCCCGGCGTCCGCTTCCTCCGCTTTCGTCATCTCCGCAATCCCCCCCGCATTTCCACAATTCCGCCATGTCTTCTTCCACCGCGAGCGGGGCGGAAGATACGCGGAGAGCGCAGCTTTTGGGCAACGCGCGGGGAACGGGGGGAGGTGGGGGAAATGGAAAGGGAGCGCGCTGGGGGAACCACCACGGAGGGGCATGGGCAGGTGCAGGGGGGGCAATTTTTGCTGGAATGGCGGCAATTGGGGTAGCTTGGGGGGAGGCGCGGAGCAGCAAAGGGGAAAGGGCAGGGGAGAAAGGGAAGAGAGGGGAAGGAGGAGGAGTAGGGGAAGAGGGGGAGGAGGATGAAGGGGAGTTGGTGTCGAATTGGAGTGGTACGCATGAGGTTAGGGCGGCTGTGGTGTACCGACCAGAATCCATGCAGGTGCGTGTGTGCTTGTATGCATGTCTAAGTGTGTGCTAATATGCAGGGGGTGTGTGCGTATGAATGAGAGTGCGTGTGTATACCAGTGGAGTGGTACGCATGAGGTTCGGGCAACTGTGGTGTACCGACCAGAATCCATGCAGGTGCGTGTGTGCTTGTATGCATGTGTGTGCCCGTTTGTGTGTGCTTATAAGCAGTGGGGTGCGTGCGTATGAATGAGTTTAGCATGTGCCGTAGTGTGTGTATATCTGGTGGTGCTGCTGTGGTGGAGGGTATTCACGAGGTTTGGGCAGCTGTGGTGTACCGACCAGAATCCATGCAGGTGCGCGTGTGCTTGTGTGCATGCGTGTGTGATTATATGCAGTAGGGTGTGTGCTTATAAGCAGTGGGGTGTGTGCATGTGAATGATTGTAGCATGCGTCATAGTGCGTGTATAACTGGTGGAGGGTACTCACGAGGCGTGTGCGTATGTGCGCCTCTCCTTGCCCTCTCTCCCCCACCTGCCACCAGGATTTAGAACAAATGGTCCGTCTAGCCCATACAGAGGGTCGCACCATCCGCCCTGTAGGCAGCGCCATCTCCCCTAACGGCAGTGCTCTGAGCCCCTCACCCTTAGCCCTAAACCCTGAACCCTCTCTGCCCTTCCTCCATCGCTCCTCCGTCCCCTCACCAGGATTTGGAACGGATTGTTCATTCAAGCAGCCCATGCAGAGGGTCGCACAATCCCTTTGTGGCCAGCGCCATCTCAACCAATGGCATTGCTCTCTGAACCGCCACGGCATGGTCAACCTGGCGCTCATGGCACGAGTGATGCACGTGGATAAGGGCAGGGGGGGAACGGGGAGCATTCGAAGCAGTGGGTAATTCCGTCTCCCTTCTTCCTCCTTGCCCTCTCTCCCTTCTCCTCTTTCCAGGATTTGGAACGGAGTGTTCAATCAGTCCACAGGAAGGGTTGCCCCATCCGCCCTGTGGGCAGCGCCATCTCCCCCAACGGCATCGCTCTGAGCGCCCACGGCATGGTCAACCTTGGCTTTAATGGATCGAGTGGTGCATGTGGATAAGAGCACAGGGAGGGATGGGTAGCATTCAGAGCAGCAGCCTATCCGTCCCCCCTTTTCCTCGCTGCCCTCTCTCCCTTCTCCTGTTTCCAGGAGTTGGAAAAGATCGTTCAGGCAGCCCACAGGGAGGGCCGCCCCATCCGCCCTGTAGGCAGCGCCATCTCCCCCAACGGCATCGCTCTGAGCGCCCACGGCATGGTGAATCTAGCCCTGATGGACCGAGTGGTGCATGTGGATCAGAGCACCGGGAGGGTGCACGTGCAGGCAGGGGCGCGTGTGGAGCAGGTGATTGAGGCTTTAAGGCCGCACGGGCTTACTCTCCAGAATTACGCGTCTGTGCGAGAGCAGCAGATCGGGGGGTTTATTCAGGTGAGCAGCCGGGGCTGTATCGGGTGATGCTGCGCTGCATGTGGATGAAGGGGAAGGCAAGGCACATTGGTGGGAGGGCGCGAGTGCAAGCAGGGGCGCGTGTGGTGGAAGCTCTGAGACCGTATGGGCTTATCCTGCCGAACTATGCTTCGGTTTGAGAGCAGCAGACATGGGGGGTTATACAGGTGAGACTGCTGTGGTGCGGACTGGCGGATTCATTCAGGTGAGCCCACATGACCTTTAACTTCCTGACCTTTTCTCGTGACACCTACTTGTGACACTTGCTCGTGACAGGAACACACACGTTTCCTTTCCACCCTCCCCTTTTCCTGCTCTTTCCCTGTCTGTCCGCCTTGCACCTTAGGTGGGAGCACACGGCACAGGGGCCGGCATCGTGACACCTAGTCGTGACAGGGACAAACACCTTTCTCTTCTCCTCCCTTTCCGTCACCTCCCCCCTTTTCTGCCACCTTCCTCCCTTTCCGTCACCTCCCCCCCTTTCTGCCACCTTCCTCACCTCGTGACACCTGGCAGGGGCACGCTGCGCTGCACCTGATACAACGTCCTCTTGCCCTCCTTCTCTTCTTCCCCTCCTCCCGTTCTCCCCCTCAGGTGGGAGCACACGGCACAGGGGCCGGCATCCCTCCAGTGGACGAGCAAGTCGTGGCCATTAAGCTCGTGACACCTGCTTGTGGCAGGGATAAACACCTATCCCCCTTCCCCCTTCTCCACCACCTTCCCCATCTTAGGTGGGGGCACATGGCACAGGGGCTGGCATCCCCCCGGTGGACGAGCAAGTCGTGGCCATTAAGCTAGTGACACCTGGCAGGGGCACGCTGCACCTGACGCCCGAAGCTGACCCGGACCTGTTCTTCCTGGCTCGGTGCGGGCTCGGAGCACTAGGGGTGGTGGGGGAGGTGGAGTTGCAGGCAGTGCCGGCTCACAGGCTGAGGGAGGAGACGTTTGTAACGACCAAGGAGGAGATCAAGAGGCATCATGCGTGAGTGCATTGGGGAGGGCAGGATAAATCACTAGGAGTGCAGGGCATGCGTGGGTGGGATAAATCACTAGGAGTGCAGGGCATGCGTGGGTGGGATAAATCACTAGGAGTGCAGGGCATGCGTGGGTGGGATAAATCACTAGGAGTGCAGGGCATGCGTGGGTGGGATAAATCACTAGGAGTGCAGGGCATGCGTGGGTGGGATAAATCACTAGGAGTGCAGGGCATGCGTGGGTGGGATAAATCACTAGGAGTGCAGGGCATGCGTGGGTGGGATAAATCACTAGGAGTGCAGGGCATGCGTGGGTGGGATAAATCACTAGGAGTGCAGGGCATGCGTGGGTGGGATTAGTCACTCAGACTCACAAGGAGAGCTGCAGGGCAGGCAGGCATGTGTGGGCTCGGAGTGCTGGGGGTAGTTGGGGAGGTGGAGTCGCAGGCAGTGCCGGCGCACAGACTTAGGGAGGAGATGTTTGTTACTACTAAGGAGGAGATTAAGAGGCACCATGGGTGAGTAAACAGTGGGAGGGACTGTGGGGTTAACCATTCAGACTGGCAAGGAGGGCTAGGAGCGCTGGGGATGGTGGGGGAGATGGAGTTGCAAGCAGTGCCGGCTCACAGACCGAGGGAGGAAACGTTTGTTACTACTAACGAGGAAATCAAGAGGCATCACGGGTGAGTGTTGTGGGTGGGAGGAATTGCGGGGGTAACCACTTAGACTAGCACGCAGGGCTTGGAGCACTGGGGGTGGTAGGAGAGGTGGAAGCAGTGCCGGCGCATAGACTGAGAGAGGAGACGTTTGTTACTGATAAGGAGGATATTAGGATGCATCACGGGTGAGTAAGTGGTGGTGATGGTTGTTTGGGGGGGGAGGATGGGGGAAGTGGGGCAAAGAGGGGTATCAAATGTCATCCTTGCTCCCTGCTCTCCGCCCTCCTCTCTCCCAGCCAATGGTTGCTTTTGAGCCGACTAAAAAGAAGCGGGGCAAAGAGGGGTATCAAATTTCATGCTTGCTCCCTTCTCTCCGCCCACATGTGGATTCCACACACACACCGTCTTATGCTACCACCATCACACCATCCCACCATCCAACCATCCTGCACCATCCCATCTCCACTCTCCCAGCCAGTGGTTGAGAGACTACCAGCATGTGCGCTACATGTGGATTCCACACACACACGCAGTCGTGGTGGTGAGGAGCAACCCCATCCAGGACACCACCAGTGGGGGATCAGCAGTGCAAGGCGAGGAGAGGGCGCAAGGCAAGGGACCTGCCAGTGGGGGATCAGCGTTGAGTGAGGATGAGAAGCTGGCTCATGTACGAGCGCTGTATCTTGCATCAGTTGCTGCAAGGAGAAGGTGAGATAAGCAGGTGATGGTGATGTGAAAGGGCACATGCACAGGAGCATGAGGTTGGGCCGTCATTGAGTGAGGATGAAAAGCTGGCTCACGTGCGAGCGCTGTACCTCGCATCGGTTGCTGCGAGGAGAAGGTGAGTTACGCTGCAGCCTGGATGGTGCAACTGAGGGGGTTGATATTGTGCTAGTGTTGAGTGAGGACGAGAAGCTGGCTCACGTGCGAGCGCTGTACCTCGCATCAGTTGCTGCAAGGAGAAGGTGAGCTTTTCAGGTGATGGTGATGTGAGACGGGCACAGGGGGGTGGGGGTGCGGCATCATTGAGTGAGGATGAGAAGCTGGCTCACGTGCGAACGCTGTACCTGGCGTCAGTTGCTGCAAGGAGAAGGTGAGACTATACTAGCGTGATTATAATCAATTTGGTGGCATGGCATCCTGCAGTTGCTTCTTTGGGTGATGAACTCTGGATCGGCTCGCATTCTGCTTTTATCCTGGTTCAGTTCTGTTTGTGGTTCTCCGTTTCTCGATTTGTACGATGTTTCTTCCTGGTTCAAGCTGCAATGTGATTCACCTTACTCGTTTCCTTCCTTTTTCTAACACACTTCAATTCCCATGATGTGGCCTATCAGTTCCAAGCTACACCCCTCTCCCGTTTCGTAAGCTGAATCGGTCTGTTTTTTCGCCCTCCCTCCCCACCAACGTTCATGCAGCGCCAAACTTTCTCGGACCCAACCCCAACCCCAACCCCACCGACCTACCTCCTCGACCTCCTCCTCCTCCTCTGCCTCCTCCCTTACCACCGAAGCAGCTGCTGGCATGTGGTCCGGCACAGGTTCGGCCGAGCCTGCGCCACTGAGCCAGCGTTTCCTAACCGAGGCTGAGCTTCGGGAGCTATCTTTCACGAGGCTGAGGGACGAGCTGCTTGCGCTAGATCCATTGAATCTGGACCATGTGCGGGCGATTAACCAGGCAGAGGCACTCTACTGGAAACTGAGTGAGGGGGAGAGGTGAGAGTTTTGGGGGGGTGTGGAGGGTTCATTGAATCTGGACTATGTGCGGGCGATTAATCAGGCAGAGGCGTTGTACTGGAAGCTGAGTGAAGGAGAGAGGTGAGTGTGTGTGTGGGGGGGTTTCGAAGATTCAATGAATCTGGACCATGTTTGGGGGATTAATCAGGCAGAGGCGTTGTGGTGGAAGCTGAGTTAAGGGGAGAGGTGAGTGTGTGGGGAAGTGTGGAGGGTTCATCGAATCTGGATCATGTGTGGGTGATCAATCAGACAGAGGCTTTGTACTGGAAGCTAAAGTGAAGGAGGGAGGTGAGTGTGTGTGCATGTTGTTGGCGCTAGATCCATTGAATATGGACCATGTGCGGGCGATCAACCAAGCAAAGGCTCTGTACTGGTAGCTGAGTGAAGGGGAGAGGTGAGTGTGTGTGTGGGGGTTTGGAAGATTCAATGAATCTGGACCACGTGCGGGTGATCAGCTAGGCAGAGGCGTTGTACTGGAAGCTGAGTGAAGGGGAGAGGTGAGTGTGTGTGGGTGGGGGATGGAGGGTTTAATGAATCTGGACCATGTTTGGGCGTTCAACCAGGCAGAGAATCTCTAGTGGAAGCTGAGTGAAGGAGAGAGGTGAGCGAGTGTGTGTGGGGGGGTTTCGAAGATTCAATGAATCTGGTCCATGTTCGGGCAATTTACCAGGCAAAGGTTCTCTACTGAAAGCTGAGCGACCAAACACCCACTGGCACAGCAAGACGCAGTACTGATACATACTCTTCCTGTTTCCCTTGTGCAGGGAAGGGTGGAGCGACCAGATACTGGGCTTTGACTGTGGTGGGCAGCAGTGGGTGTCTGAAGTGTGCTTCAAGGCAGGCGGCAGCAGCAGCAGCAGCACCACCACCACCACCGCCGCCGCCAGCACCACCACCACCACCAGCACCGCCGCCGCCAGCAGCAGCAGCAGCAGCAGCAGCACAGCGGACATAGCGTTTATGGAGGAACTATTGGCGCTGATCGAGTCAGAGGGTATCCCCGCCCCGGCGCCCATAGAGCAACGCTGGACCAGTTGCAGCCGCAGCCCGATGAGCCCTACTTCAGGTGCTTATAACGCTGCTAATGCCGCGGCAGCTGCTGCAGGCTCGGCAGCAGGCTCGGCAGCAGATGGAGGAGCGGCGCTCGATGATGTTTACTCATGGGTATGTGGAAATGTTCCCGATTGTTTTAAGACATCTCAAAACATCTCAAGACATCTCAAAACAAACGCTCGATCCACTTGCTTCATGAAGATGCTCACTGGTTTACTTGTGCGGGTATGTGGTAAAGAGGTATAGTTTTCTTCCCTCGTTATTTAAAATTGCTTTGTTCATCCACAAGATATATTGTGCTGCCATCTTCGTACATTTCTCATGTTTGTAACCGTGTCTATCCATTCTATTTAGAACAGCATTCTTAGCATCATGCCCCATAACCATTGATCCTGTTCCTGTCACATGCAGGTGGGCATTATCATGTATCTGCCTTCCAATGACCCTGACCAACGGGCATCCATCACCAAACATTTCCTCGACTACAAGTTTTTGACTGCCCGAAGGCTCTGGGACAAATATGGAGCACATGAGCACTGGGCAAAGATTGAGGTACGACAGTTACAGGGATAAGAGAGCCACCTATGGATTTAAGACCAGAAGGAAAACCATCATTAAAACGTTGGAGGTCAAAGGGAGATGTTGTTGAAGGGTTTGTGCTGGTCAGATGCTGCTTCCATCTCCTTCCTTTCATTCTCCCACTTTTCCCAGCCTCCCCTTTCCTATGATCTCCAACTTCTTTCTTCCCACCATCGACTCTTTTTAACATTCCTAGAGCTCTGTTTTGGCACTCCATAACTTGTTTTCTCCCTCCACCCCCCACTACGCAGATCCCCTCAGACCCCGCCAATCGTGAGTGGCTGGTGGCACGCATTGCTCGCGATTTTCCTGTGGCCAAGTTGAATGCGTATCGGCAAAATCTGGATCCCAAAAACGTGCTGGCCAATGACATGCTTGATGTGCTTTTCCCTCGTTGAATCAAGGCAACCTTAAGAAAGTCGCAACCGGTTTCTGGTAGGATAGGAATGAGCCGATCAGATGCATGTTGTGAAGAAACAGGAATGAATGACTAGGAAATGAGTTTGGTACAAATAGGAAACCCTAACAAACTGTACCCCATAGTGTCTACCCCACTACAGCCTAAACAGGCTATGTGATTAATGTTTGACACACCCCCATAGGCAAGGTGGGGGAGAACAAGGGGTCACAAGACCAGTCAAGTAAAGCAAAGCAAGACAAGCTCAGGGTGGATCACAACGTCACCACACATTCCGAGCACAGGTTCAAAGGCCACAAGGCCAGTTCACATGCAAGGTTATATATAAAGGTAAACAAGCAAGAGCAGGTATATATAGATCACAGAACAAGTAAAGTCAAGAGGTAAGCAAGTGAGGCCAAGTAGGCACAAGACCTAGCATAGTACAGAAGCGCTGATGGTCACAAGGCTGAAGTGCCTTGGTGAAGATATCAGCAGTGTTGGCCTGAGAGGCCACGTAAGCAAGGCGCAGCTGACCACGCTGCTCCAGCTCACGAGGAAGGAAGTAGCGAAGAGCAATGTGCTTCGTTCTGTGCTCCAGTCTGTGCTCCCGACACAAGGCCAGCATGGCCTTGTTGTCTACGTACAGAACTGGAGGAGAACGAGGCGGCTCTCCCAGGTCAGTCAGCAGGTAGGTGAGCCAGCGTAACTCCTGTGCAGCCATGGCTCCTGCGTAGATCTCAGCCTCACAGCTGGAGCTGAGAACAGAAGACGAGCGGGTAGACCGCCACGAAACAGAACCGGAACCAAGGCTGAAGGTGTAACCCTGTGAAGACCGCTGAGTAGCCAGGTCGTCAACCCAAGACGCGTCTGCGTGACCAGTGAGGACCACTGGACTCCGCCCTCCAAGCACGAGCCCCATGCCCGACGTACTGCACAGGTAGCGCAACACCCTCTTTGCGGCAGCCATGTGCTCTGGTCGGTGTCTCCCAGGAGCAACATAGCGAGCCAAGATGCTAAGAGGGTATGCCAGGTCAGGTCGAGTGCAGGTCATCAGGTACATGAGGCAAGCAACAAGCTCTGGGTACGGGCCACTCGGCTCTACGGACTCATCCGAAGGCAGAGCTGAGAGCGAGTGGCGAGTAGACAGAGGAGTGGCCTGAGGCGAGGAGTACGTGAAGTCGAAGCGCTGAAGGACCTGCTGCACCATGTGTGACTGAGTCAGGGTAATGGTGCGCCGTGCTCTGTCCCGAGTGATCTGCAAGCCAAGATAGCTGCGCAGTTCACCCAGGTCTGTGCACGTGTGTCTCTTCTGCAGCTCGGACTTCACGTGGGCGAGTCCAGCAGTGTCAGCCGTAGCAAACACCAAGTCGTCGACGTACACGAGGATGTAGAACGGCGGCAGCGAGGTGTCGGTGCAAAGAAACAGCGACGGGTCAGCAGTAGAAGGAGCAAACCCAAGAGCTGCAAGCGTAGTCCTCAGTGTGTTGTGCCACTCACGGGGTGCCTGGCGGAGACCGTAGACTGGCCGTCGGAGGCTCCACTGGGTACCAGAAGGAAACGACCCAGTGAAGCCAGGAGGGCGGCGCAGCCAGATCTCCTCGTGCAGGCTGCCCTGTAGGAAAGCAGTGCTGAAGTCAAGGGAGTGAAGCTCGTAGTCACGCTGAGCAGCGACATGCAGCAGAACCCGAAGAGTGGTCATCTTCGGGGTCGGGGAGAAGGTCTGAAAGTAGTAAAACTCCCTGCCGCTGACTGAAGCCTCGAGCCACGTAACGCGCCTTGAAGACAGGCGGAGAACCCGGCGGCCGCTTCACCCTGAAAATCCACATGCCACTGACGATGTTCGCCCCAGGTGGGGGAACGTCGTCGACGTAGGTGCCTGTGGACTTCCAGGAAGCCATCTCTGCGTCCATGGCTGCCTGCCACTGAGAGGAGTAAGGACCCTCTATCGCCTCTGCGTAAGAGCGCGGGGTCGGGATGTCTGGTGCATCCGGGTCTCCCTCAGGGGCAAGCAGCAACGACACGAAGTGAGGTAAAGCAGCTGCAAAACACTGGAACTCCTCCTGCCTGTCCTTAAGGACGTCCGTGCTAAGAGCACACTCACCCCCGACGGACGGAGGACAGACAGATGCAGACTCAGCAACAAGACTAGCGGCGTAGTCTAGACGACAGTGAGCAGCGAAGTTGACAAGCTCGGCTACTAAGGCAGACGCAGCAGCGGACTCAAAGGAAGGGTCAGTGACAGCAGTGGCTTGGAAACGCGTGACAGTAGGACTGGCAGCACGAAGGGAGTCAGACGCCGGGTCAGCAAGAGCAGGAAGAGAGGACTCTGGAGGAGACGGCAAAGGGACACGTTCTGGCGCAGTGGAAGGACGCAGTGCCATCTGATGCGTGCCCGGGACTGCAGGAGGACGCTGACGTGGAACACGACGACTAGTGCGAGCAGTGCGAACAGGTGACGCAGGACGCGACTCAGGCTCACGACGCTCAGCAAGACCTCCAGTAGGACCAGCGTAGGGAGAAGGAGCAGGCAGAGGGGAGGCCAGCTGTAACTGTGACTCGGACTGGACAGGCGGTGGACACTCTAAGGAAGGAGCAGGACTAGAAGAAGGCGGAAGACCAAGAACCTGCTCAAGGAGCGGAACGAAGTACGGCCGCGGCCGCGCAGCACCCCCAGCGTCAGCCCCAACTCCAGCAGCACCACCAGCTCCAGTACCTCCAGCACCTCCAGCTCCAGCAGGACCACCGGCAGACACAGCAGCTCCGGCTCCAGGACCTCCAGTAGCACCCACTCCAGCAGCACCACCAGCTCCAGCTCCACCAGTAGCTCCAGCACCAGGAGCACCACCAGGCCCAGCAGCTCCAGTACGTCCAGTACGAGCACCTCCGGGACCCGTGGCTCCAGTACCCCCAGCAGAAGCAGAACCTCCAGCACCTCCAGCTCCAGTACCTCCAGCAGCAGCAGAACCTCCAGCACCGGCAGCACCTCCAGCTCCAGCAGCACGGCTCCAGCGCCGAGCAAACCACTCGCGCAGCTCCTGTGGAGAGGGAAGCTCCCGCCGGGACAAAGCACCCGAAGGACCTCCAGGTCCAGCACCGGTAGGCTCCGCACCCCTACTCTCAGCAACCCCAGGCTCAGCACCCCCAGAAGCAGCACCCCCAGGCTCCGCACGCTCAGGCTCAGCACCCCCAGAAGCACCAGAGTCAACAACTACCTCGACAGGCTCGACTGCATCTACCTGGGACACACCTGAGGGGGCAGGACCCTGAGGGGGGAGGGGGTCTACCGGGGGGGGACCGGGCGCGAGGAAGAGCGGCGGGGGGGGGGGGGAGGGGGGCAGTGCGGTAGGGGAAGAGACGGTAGTACGGAACCGACTCGTCAAACGTGACGTCCTGGGAGGACAGAACCCGACGCGAGGTGGGGTGGTAAAACTGCCAACCAGGCGCGTCAGGGGGAAAGCCGAGGAAGACGCAAGGAACAGCACGGGAGGACAGCTTGTCCGCAGACAAGTCTCGGACGAAAGCTCGAGATCCCCAGACACGGAACGCAGACGCATCACCAACCTTCCCCGACCACCGCAGAGTAGGGGAGGTCTCCGGCAGGGAGACCCGGGGCTGAAGGTTGATCTGATGCGCCGCGTACTGAACCGCGAACGGCCACAGAAAATGGGGAGCAGCCGCATGGATCATGGACGTACGAGCGACATCCATGACCATGCCAATGCGGCGCTCAGCAATCCCATTTTGCTGTGGAGAGGCCGGAAGCGTGAACGTCTGGCGGATGCCCTCCGCACGACAGAAGGCTCGCAGAAGGTCGGAGGAAAACTCTCCGCCTCTGTCGGAGTGCAGACGCAGAACAGGAAAGTCCGAGCCGAAACGCTCTCTGAGCTGGAGACGAGCAACGCGGATCCAGTCGATCAACACCTCAGTGACCTCACCCTTGCTGCGCAAGGGGAAGACCGTGGTGTAACGCGAGTAGTCGTCAACCACCAGCAGGAAGTAACGCTCGTGACCCTGTCCACGGACGCGAGCCGGGCCCCACACGTCCATGTGGAGAGTCTGCAGCGGAGCCTCTGTCGGGGGAAACTCGGAGGAGTGAGGAGCGGCGCGCTGCCGCCCCTCGACGCAGGGAACGCAGGTAGGGGCAGGCCCCGGGGGAAGGGGAGGGAGGGACCGGGGGAGACCAGAGACAAGGACACGGGAGGCCATGCCTCGGAGACGAGGTAAGGAGGGGTGACCAAGGCGGTGGTGCCAGAGGAGGGTCTGGTGGGACAGGAGGCGACACGAGCAGGGGGCAGACTCAGGACCTGACCGAGACGCTGCAGCAAACACCTGACTCGACGCAGCTACCTGACTAGACGCAGCAACCGGGGAAGACTCTGTGGTCAGTGTGTACAGGCTCGACCCTGGTCGACGGGTAAACGTGGCCAAGTGGCGGCCCGTCTGAGCACACGCGCAGTGGGTCACTCGCTGACTCGCAGGAGTGAACTGGTCAACCCCGGCATCCTGAAGGTCAGCACCACTCACCAAGTTCGTAGAGAACGAGGGGAGGTAGAGACCAGACAGGGAGCCGGACGGGGCCGCCGGACACGGGAGGACAGTGGAGTAGCGAGCAAGAACAGGACCCCCAGAGGGGTCTGCCAGGGAGACCGCAACCGGCCGACTGAGCGGCGTAAGGGTGGTGCGGTCTCGAAAGAAGGAGCGGGAAGCACCCGAGTCGAGGGTGAAGGTGTGCAAGACCTGAGCCGGCGCGGTACCTGAGAGAGCAGACTCACCAGCACCTAGAGCAGCAGACTCACTAGCACCTGGAGCAGCAGACTCACGAGCACCTAGAGAAGCAGCCTCAATTCCCGGGTCAGGCGGAACACACACGTAACAGTCACCCTCAGCACTAATAGACACAGCATACATGGCAGCAAGAATAGCATCAAAGTCAAGATCAAAGATAGCTACACCCGACTTGAGCAGATCACCCCAGCGAGGGAACTGGGTACGCCAGGCGTCTGTCAGGCGACCGAAGCAGCGCTGGGTGGAGTGCTGGCCACCACACTGCTCTCCAGTGCGGTCGCCTGCGCGCAGGACGTAGGCACAGGGACCAGCACCCCCAGACCCCTGGCGCCCTGCGTACCACTCACGAAGCTGCTGGGGCGACGGGGTCTCACGAGAGCGTGACTGGTGCTGGGGTCCCCGCTGCACAGCTCCGCCTCTACCAGCTCCACCTCCGCCGCCGCCGCCTCCGCCTCCTCCACCCCAACCGCCACCGCCACCGCCGCCTCCACCTCCACCGCTGCCACCGAAGCCCCCACCTCTGCCACCACCCCCACCCCCACCCCCTCCTCCGCCTCCACCGCCACTACCGCCTCCCCCACCACCACCTCCAGCGCCCTTGCCCCACTTGCCCTTGCTGTTGCGGCGCCTCTCACTAGGAGCAGACGCAGCGCTGACCGACTCGGTGCCAACAAGGTCGACAGCAGCAGCAGAGGCAACGGAGGGCAAAAGAGGAACGGGGGAGCACCCCTCAAAGAAAGGGGTACGGGGGTCACCACGAGAGGCTCCTACAGCGGTAATACTAGTCTCTGCTGCAAGGAGGCGCTCCTCGAGGAGGTCAACGGTGAGGGTGGTAGGGCAAAGAGAGAGGAAGTGGTCCCTGACCGAGCGAAGAGTGTCAGGGAGTCGAGTGACTAGGTAGTAGAGGGTTATGTACATGGGGGGGGGGGTCTTTGCACAGAACTCAGCAGGAAGTGCAGCGCGGTAGCGAGTGTCACTAGTGCGGAGGTGCGTAATGAGGTCAGTGACTGTGGCAAAAGCGGCGAGGTCAGGGAACAGGTACGGTAGCATGAGGCGGCTAAGCGCAGCAGTGGCAGGGGAAGAGTAGCGTGCAACTACAGCGTCGTACAGAGTCTTAGCACTCTTGTACTGACTAAAGTGCGCGCGCTCAGTAGACGGTAGGTGACTACGCACAGCAAGGCGGGCAGCAGCATCGCGCGTGAGCCACTGCGAGCGAACAGTACTGTCAGCATCAGCAGCAGCGGCAGTAGAGGCGCCAGACGTGAGATCGAACAGTGAGAGACCATCCTTGCTATCGCACTGTAGGAAAAGCTGCAGATCATCTAGCCAGACATCGAAGTCAACCGCTCGACCCTCAGCATCAAAGGTAAGAACACTAGGACTAGCCATGACCGGAGCAGCAGCAGGCTAGCAGCAGCAGCAGTGCAGCTCGGCTAAGCGACGCGGCTAGGCAGGGCAGCGCGGTTCGGCAGGGCGGCTCGGCAGGGCGGCTCGGCAGAGCGGTGCGGCTCGGCAGCGCGACTCGGCCCGGCGATGCTCTTACCAGGGGCTAGGCCGGGGCAGGGCCGAGGGAGGGTCGGGGCAGGGTTGCGACAGGTCCGGGACAGGGCCGGGGCCGGGCCGCGACAGGTCCGGGGCAGGGCCGGGGCCGGGCCGCGGCAGTGCAGGAGCAGGGCCGGGGCAGAGTCGAGGCAGGGCCGGGGCAGGGCCGGGACAGGGCCGGGGCGAGGGCCGGGGCAGGGCTGCAACAGGGCCGGAGCAGGGCCGGGGCAGGGCTGCGATAGGGCCGCAACAGGGCCGGCGCAGGGCCTCGACAGGTCGGGGCAGGGTTGCGACAGGGCCGGGCCAGGGCCGGAACAGGGCCGCGACAGGGCCGGAGGAGGGCCGGGGCTGGGTCGCAGCAGGGCCGCGACAGGGCCGCGACAGGGTCGGGGCAGGGGCGGCGCCGGGCGACCGGGCAGGGCCGAGACGAGGGGCCCGCGACGGGGGGGGCCGCGACAGGGGGCTGGGCCGGGACGACGGGGCACCAGGCTACGGGGCGACGGGGCGCTGGGCCGGGCCGCGACGCGGCGGCTTTGGGGGCCGGCGCTGGCTCTAAGGGCAGGCGCAGGGGCCGCTACGGGCCGTGAAGGGGCCGCTACGGGCCGCAAAGGGGCCTCGACGGGCCGTGAAAGGGGGCCGCTACGGGCCGCAAAGGGGCCTCTACGGGCCGTGAAAGGGCTGGGGCCACTACGGGCCGCGAAGGGGGCTTCGAAGGGCAGGCGCGACGCGCGCGTCGGGCAGGTAGGAAAAAAAAAAAAAAAAAAAGTGGTGGGCCCTTAGGAAAAATCGAACTAGCTCTATACCATGTGAAGAAACAGGAATGAATGACTAGGAAATGAGTTTGGTACAAATAGGAAACCCTAACAAACTGTACCCCATAGTGTCTACCCCACTACAGCCTAAACAGGCTATGTGATTAATGTTTGACACATGTAATTCATCCAAGACCTATGGTATCAAGGCGTGGTGGAGTACAGTCAGGCCATGAGCACGCCGTTGTGTCAGAGAACCTCTGACACGGCGGCTGTCTAGCTTATGCATTCTGCAATCCTTCAATGAGAACCCTCCAGCATACCTTCGTCACAACCACCACCACCACCTCCACACCACCACCACCACCCTCCTCATTCCTCTGTAGTCCCCTCCCTCAGCACCTGCCTCAAGTCTCCTCCTCCCTCCTCTCATCAACCCCTCCCTTTCCCAATTTCTCACTCTCTCAAACACCTCTCCATCTCAAAGTGTCCAGCAGCTCCTACTTACACTGCAAATGCACACCATCGGTACAATTATGAAACGGCACATCTACATCAGTACAGGAAATGTACAAAGCTAATCCAATGACCAGGGACACACACAACACACCCGTACAGCAGCACAATGCAGTGGTTCACCAAAAATGATACCGAGCATATTTCTACTGCAGTAACGAGACTAAAGCGTAATTCGTGCACCCATCACTGTAATCCAAAACTCTTAGATCTCTTGAAACAGAACCCTCGCATCACTTGGTTTGGAAGATATTTTGGATCATTGGCCGTGGCACCTCAGCAGCAGCATCATCCAAAGCTGCAACCTCATTGGACGACAGCCGCCAGCCAAGCGCTCCCAGATTTTCCTTGGCTTGCTCGACGGACTTGGCTCCTGGGATGGGGACTGTGCCCTTAGCCATGCACCAGTTGATTGCCACCTGTAACAAGGCGAATGGGGGGGGGCATGCACGACAGTTCAACACACGTAAGTTGCTTGTCTGCTTGCTCCACGGTCTTGGCTCCTGGGATGGGGACCGTGCCCTTGGCCATGCATCAGTAAATCACCACCTGTAACAAGGGGAGTAGGAGGAGCATGCACGACAGTTCAACACACGTAAGTTGCCTGTCTGCTTGCTCCACGGTCTTGGCTCCTGGGATGGGGACAGTGCCCTTGGCCATGCACCAGTTGATCGCCACCTGGTGACATGGCGGGTAGGTGGAGCATATAAAGATGTCACGGGAAAAAGCCACGCCCAAGTGCTTCCATTTGGAGAAGGCTCCTGGGTTGGGGACCAGACCTTGCCCTTGGCCATGCACCTGTTGTTTGCCATGCATTAGATAGTTACCACGTGTTTCATGAGACTAAGTGGGATTGAGACAGTGTGTGATGGAGCAAAAAGGCAGGATGGAGAGCAGAGCAATCAAAAGAAGACACGGCATCACAAATAGAACAGGGGGGTTCAGGGCAGTGAACTCACGTAGAAAGCGAAGATGGGTTAAAATAAGTCTCAAAATTTGTCTTGCCTGAGGCAGGGTTTTGTTTCGCTTTTCCCCAATTTCCGTCATGAGGCCAAGAAGAGGGTCCAGGCCGGGCAGCAGTTGTTGGAACAAAATACCTCTGGATCGAGAATAAGAAACAGGTGTGGGGAAGGGGGAGGAAGGTTGGGGGGTGTTAGACAGGAGAGAGGGTGGGCAAGGAGTTGGTTAAAGGGGAGGAGCAAAGACGAATCAAGGGAGGGTGCGAGAAATGTAAAGTAGCCACGTGATGCGATGGAAGTCGATGGGTATGGTTGGTTGAGTGGCGGCAGTGCATAAATGGCAACTCAGCATGACCGTTGCCACGCGTTCCGCATCAGAATGGCAAGGCTCGTGAAACAGCATGCAAGCAAAGCGAGGGCAGATAAAGCAGCGCATGGAGCCGTTGCGGGAGATTCAGTCAGTGAGCACCTTGGGCCTTGCGGCAGGTTGTCAGCACTGTATTTCCCCGAGAGCACGCCGAGAGCGAGAGGGGAGTATGCTATAACGCGGATGCCATTGGCCTCACAGAAGGCCAGCAGGTCGTCCTGCTCTTCACCCGAGCTCAAGAGGGAAAATTGCACCTGACAGGATGGGATGGATGGATGGACGGGCGGATGGGTAGGTAGATGGATGCACAGACGGATGGGTGGATAGATGGGTGGAAGGGTGGATGGATGGGTGGATGGATGGGGGTTCGATGTGGAGGCAAAAAAAAATACTGGTGGGTGTATGAAGAAAAACTGAAGAAAGGAGTGCAAGTCAATATCTGTCACGCTTTGACATGCAAGGATTCAATGACTCGTGAGCACCGAGACGATATTTTAGGCACCTCGAGAATCTATGTATGCCTGCATATTACATGAAACGGCCACATGAAGTACCCACGCCATAGGTCGTCCACACTGATGTGACTTCTGGTACGTGCTTGGGTATTGTTCCGTACCTGTGCCGAAGCAAGTGGCACTCCCCGTTCCTGCAGGTATGTGTAGATTCGCTCGAGTTGCTGCGGGCCGTAGTTGCTCACTCCCACGCACTCCACCAATCCCTGGTGAGGGGAGGAAGAGATATAGGGTTGTGAGAGTGTGGGGGGGGGGAGAGGCACGAGTTAAAACTTGAAAATTGAAGTTTCTCAATACCACACTTGTGAACTGGTAGACATGTTTTTCTATTGGAAGGGTTATAGTACACTCGCTCATATCATTTGGCGCCAGTTTCAACTCACATGTTCCTGCATGCTCTTTGTGAATCCATCGGTATCTTACCTTATCTTACGGTTTCATCTCACCTCCTCGTACATAGCGACGAGCCCATCCCACAGCACCCTCTCCTGCAACGGAGCATAGTTAGCAGCAGACCAATGCAGCTGCCCTATTGCGAGCTTCTCCAAGCCCAGACGATCCAGTGATGCTCTGATGGGGGAGAGGAGGAGCATATATGGTGGATATGAGAGGAGGGAAGCGGGCGTGATTACAACAGGGGAGGTGGCAGCCGACCAATGCAGCTGCCCTATAGCGAGCTTCTCCAAGCTCAGGCGATCCAGTAGGCTCTGATGGAGGGAGAGGGGAAGAATTGGTGAATACAGAAGGGAAGTTACCTTGCCTGCACCGGCAGATCAATGCAGATGGCCTACCGCCAGCCTCTCCATGTCCAGGCGATCCAGTGGAGAGGAGGAAAATTCATGGAGGATGTGAGAGGACAGAAGCCAGAAGGAGAGCCGTGGATACAGCAGGAGGTTTAGCTGTGGACCAATGCAGCTGGCCTATCACTGGTCTCTCTGTGCTCAGGCGATCCAGTGGAGAGGAGGGAAAAACATGGAGGATGTGAGATGATAGAAGCGAGGAGGAGAGCCGTGAATACAGCAGGAGGTTTAGCTGTGGACCAACGCAGCTGGCTTATCACCAGTGTCTCCATGCTTACCATGTGCGCGGGGAAGGGTGGGTCGCCTGGGATACGCGGCCGGCTTGGTGGCAATACGGATGTCCAATCCCCCACTACCCCCGTCCACTCCCTTGTCCCACATGCCCCACGCTTTCAACATGTCCCCCATGTCTCACATGCCCCCCATGTCTCACATGCCCCCCATGTCCCACATGCCCCCCATGTCTCACATGCCCCCCATGTCTCACATGTCCCACATGTCTCACGTGCCCCCCATGTCTCACATGCCCCACATGCCCCACATGTCCCCCATGTCTCACAAGCCCCCCATGTCTCACATGCCCCCCATGTCCCACATGTCTCACATGCCCCCCATGTCCCCCATGTCTCACATGCCCCCCATGTCCCACATGTCTCACATGTCCCACATGTCCCCCCACCCCATCTCCACCATCCCCCACAAGCGCCCGCCGACTGCCTCACCTGCAGGCGCCCACCATCTGAGCGGGCGTGAGGCGCCAGGGATACGCGGTGAGCTTGGTGGCAATGCGGATGATGTGAGGCACCTCAACACTCACCCCCATCTCCCCCAATCCCCCACAGCATCCCCCACCTCCCACCACCTCCGCATCCCGCCAGTCCCAGCCCTCACCTGCAGGCGCCCACCATCTGAGCGGGCGTGAGGCGCCAGGGATACGCGGCGAGCTTGGTGGCAATGCGGATGTCACTGCGGTACTTGTCACTGCCTGGAGGAGGAGGGGGAGGAGGGGGAGGGGGAGGCGGAAGGGGGGGGAGGAAGGGGAAGGGGGAAGGGGGAGGGGGAGATGGGAGGCAGAAGGAGATCTCACTGCGGTACTTGTCACGATGCTAGGAAAGAGAGAAACAGTGAGGACTAATACGGAAGAAGAGTGAGAGTTAGAAACCTTCTTACCAAGAAGGAATCCTCCTTACCAGGGTACTCTTGAATGAATTGCCCCAGTAGCTGCTCGCTGCGGCCGCTAAGCGCTCCAGTGCCGTAGGAGTCAGCAGTGTCGAAGATATTAATCCCGCGCGACACGACCAGGTCAAATACCTCCTTAAGCTCCTCGTCCATCGCCTTGTCATAACCCCACAGGAACTTATTTCCCCACGCCCAGGTTCCGAGGCCCATAGGGGAAACCGAGAACGGACCGAGCCGCACCTAATAAAGGGCGTGTTTACACAAGGCGTCATGCTCGGTAATAGGGGAACGAAGGAGTTATTATGTAAACCAGACGGTTGTCTGTACAAAAATAAATAGGTTCCCAGCGTGCTAGTCCAGTTGCCTGATTCAAAAACTTGGCAATAAAAGAAAAGAATATGCAGCCACTGAATGTCTCCTACCGCTAGAAACTGGTGATCCTTTGCTTCAAGGTGAACTGCACAGTTGTAGCAACGGCTACGGTTACGGCTACGGCTTACCCTTTGAAGGATAGCAACGGCTTACCCTTTCCCACGGAGCATACGCCCATCCTTCTCGGAACTCTCCCGAGTCGCTTTCCGGAGCGCCTCGCTTGGTGAAGAAGTCTAGAATGGCTCGCGCTTCCACTTGAAGTACGGACCTCCTCGCGGCATTTCGGGATTGAACCGGTACCACGCGACTCGATGCTGTGCTCTTGCTTGGGAACTTGTGAGAAGCAAGCGACACTGCGTCTCGCGAAGCGGGGCCCGAGAGCACGCGATTCGACCAGCTGAGCGACGTGGCAGCCATGGCTAAATTCCTGAAAGAATTTGTTATTAGGAGCCAAACACAACGGATTTGAAGAATCAAATAGATATGTCAGGTTTCGGCTAGGTTCAATTGGTTTCCAGTCGGTGATACAGGGTTGTATGGAGCTTTTGATGTGTGGCTGTTGCGAATATAGATGATGCGCTTGATTGGACAAACGAGATTCGTGAGCTGTGTGAACCGTCGATTGCACAGAAAACATAAATCATCTACGAACACGGTTTGCCCGCAAGGTACCGTGATCGCACTTGGATTTGACACCCGAAGCAGCAGCAACTGGCATCGTCAGAGTTCGCGAAAGCACCATCGAAAAATGTTACCCGTTTGCAAGTCTCGCAACACATTTTCCCCAACCATTTGAAAGAGCAATTCACCGAGGGGCTAAAAAGGTTGGATAACCTGGGAACATTTTCCACCTATAGTGGCCTCATCAGCGGGATGTGCGCGACCTTTTACTAGTTATTTTCTGAGCCCAGTACTTCGTCGTTCAGGCATAACTGAGGCGACTGCGCAGTTAGGCTCGGGTTGAGTCGTACGCTGACGCGTTTAGTACTGCATGGGCTAGACGAGGTGGCTGTGACCGACGAGGTCAGGGAAATATCATGGCGTCTAGAAGCAGGCACTTTTTATGCGCATCGAAGCTGCGTCAATCGCTCAGATGCTACGTTCCACGCGAACTTACATTTGTATCTGGAACCACCTATCCCAACTCGAAGGTCGCCATCCCTCCCGTGTTTTCAGCAGCTAAAACCGCTCCACAAGGAACCGTTGTCTCAGATTTCACTTTGTCAGAGACATCAGCAGCAGCAGCACCCAGGGATGCGAAGGGACCCGAAAACCGTTGCGGAAGTGGAGCAATTTCGCGAGATTTTGAGGCGCCTCAACGATCAGTGTCGCCAGCTGCTCCAAGGAGCCTTGAGAGCACTGGGTCAGCGAATTCGGCCAGTTTCGCTAATTTGGCGAAATCTGGAATAATAGCTCTTTCGTTGAGAGGCACAGTGGAAAACACGGAGGCTCCAGCTGCTCGAGCAGCACTCGCTTATGGTACCTCCTGTTTAAGCCAGGGCACAGCGTCTATCCATCTTTTCAAGAGAATCAGCGCCAGGAATACCATTGGACACGTCAATCTCTTGTCTGACCTCGGTTTTGCCACCTCAGCCAGATACTCCACCACGTCATCTGAAAATTCCACGTCCGAGAAAGATGCCACGTCATTGCACCCTACCAACCCAGCCAAAGACCCCGTCAAGCCAGCTGCACGGCGTCCCTTAGCACCCAAGGAGGCGCTGCGAGTGTTTGTAGTTGCTGGCGAGCCTTCAGGGGACGCGCTAGGATGCAGATTAATGACGGCTTTAAAAGACGAGGTTGACAGGAGGAAAGGGGAGATCTGGGAGCAGGTCGAGCAAGGAAACTTCCAGGAAGGGCGTACGGGGTCTGTTGATTTTCAAGGAGTGGGAGGGTGAGTGTGGGGTGCATCTAGTGAGCAAGTGAGCGGTGAGTGGTTGAGTGAGTGCATGAGTGCACGTGTGAGTACGTGTGAGTACGTGTGAGTGCGTGACTGCGAGTATGTGACGGTTGAGGGAGCGAGTGACACACCTCCCCCCTTCTCCCCCTCTGGTTCTGCAACCGTTCACCCTCCCTTCGTAATGCCTGGTTCAGGAATGTCTGAGTGCTTGAGTAGCAATCTTTCACACTCACTTCGTAACGCCTTGTTGGGTTCCCACGCCCACAATCCAATCTCCGTTCTCCTCTCTTCCCAGCATGTGGTGCAGCCTCTTCGCTCCTGGGTGCAGGAACATCTTTCCCTTCACTGCTCAATCCCTTAATCCCTTTTTCTAATGTACTTGGCCACACTGCACTCCTTCTCCCTCCACACACATTCCCCACCATCCCATCCCCCCCCCCACTGCCCCCACCACCTTCTGCCACCCCCGTCTACCCCCTGGGTGGCACCATAGGCATTTGTAACAAATCAGCAAACATCCACACGTGTGATCCTGCGTAAACAGCCTCAAGCCAGTCCTGGCGCAAACAGCTACAGTTCACACCCCAAGTCCTAATGAGCCATCGGTATTCTCTCGCACTCATCCACACACAGCGTACCTGTTTCAGGCCATGCTTTCTCTACTCACAATCCTCCTCCACCTCCCACACGCAATTCCCCCACCTACACCACCACAGCCCCTGGATGGCATTGTAGGGCATGTGCTCTCTCTTCCCAATGACAGTCCTTTCAGTCATGGGCTTTGTGAAGTCCAATTCACCCTCCTCTTTCCACACACATCCCCCACCACCTTCACCACTCCAACCTGCACTACTCCCACCACCACCACAGCCCCTGGATGGCATCGCAGGGCCTCAGTTCTCTCTTCCCAATGACAGACCTTTCAGTCATGGGCTTTGTCGAACTCATTCCTCGTATCCCACTCCTATGGGTACACTCCTCTCTCTCTCTCACCTTGTAATTTTGTGTAATAGCAATGTGTGCTCCTATGCGTTGAAATTGTTTTTCTATTTACATCAAATGTCATTAAGTATGGCGTTTCACACTTGCATTACCTGTTTTGGGGAGTAGATGGCCACAGTCATGGTGATGCCATGATACTCCTCCCCCTCTCCCTCCCCTCTCCCCCCCCTCCTCCTCCTCCTCCTCCCCCTCCTCTCACTCCCTTCCCAGTATCGCCTGTGCCCAGCCACACATTGTCATCACCATCGACTCCAAAGGCTTCAATTTTCGCCTGCTAAAGGCTATACGAGGTCGGATCTTGCACTGGGTTGACATCTGTTGAGTTCTGAGTCGACTTGAAAGCTGGGTTAACCTTCGTGACTTTTGAGTTGACTAGGAGATCGGATGGACCTCTGTGGACTTTTTAAATGACTCAGAAAACATTGTCACCACCATCAACTCCCCTGGCTTCATTCAACTCTCACCTCCTAAAGCCCACCCGAGGTGAAATCTTGCATGCCATCGACTCCTGTTGAAACCATCATTATGCTAAGGTGTGTGGTTGCTTTGTGTTTTATGTGTGTCCTGCAGGTAAAGATAAGTTTCGTAGGCAAGGCAAGGAGGCCCCGCTCTGTGTGCATTATGTGGCGCCGTCGTTTTGGGCAGTCAAGGGAGGAGAGCGCAGACTGCGAGTATGTATAAGTGTGATTATGTTGAGGTGAATGTTTGTTCAAGTATGTGCATCTAAATTGTGAATCCACCGTTTCCACCCCAGCATATTTCCCGTGTTGTAAATGTCAGCTCCCCGGCCGACTCGTTTCAGATTTCCACATTCTCCCACAAACCCCCTGCCCTCCCCCAAGCAGAATCTCTCACCGTTGATGGACCATCTTCTATGCATCCTGCCTCATGAGCCTGCCACGTGCCAGCAGCATGGCATCCCAGCAACGTATGTGGGGCATCCGGTTCTTGAGACCATAGCTGAGGATCGGAGTACCAGGCAGAGTGGGGGAGGGAGAAAAGAGGTTGGGGAGCGGAGAGGGGAAGATGGGAGTGGAGAAATTAGAGAATCAGGAGAGCCAGGAGAGGAAGGATTGAGAAGAGATTGGGGTAATAATGTGGTGAATGGACCATGGTGGAGGGCGAGTGGGGATGGAAGAGCTTTCCGGCAGCATCACGGCATTCCAGGTAAGTTCTGTGCAATGAGCATGTGAACTTGCAATGTTTTAGGGGCTGATTGCTTGCCGTCTGAATCTAATTCTGAAGTTGATCAAGTATGTTCTCAACTGAAGTTACTTCTGTATGTTTTGCCCTTTCTCAGTCGGGCCCCAACACATAACCATCTGCCTGCTTCCAGGAAGCCGCCTACAAGAAGTATCCAGGATGCTACCTATATTATTTCAAAGTGTTGAGATTCTGACTGCATCAAAGTGGCTCAGGGATTATCTGGATTCCCGAGGGCCAGGTGGAAAACTGTCACTGGTTATTCCAACCCTTCCACACTCTTCAGAAGTGACTTCCCTTATCCAAAACACTCTTAATTCATGGCTTCATTCTCTAAAAGATAAGAACTCCAGCTGCAGATTTCCATCCAGTTTATCTCAATCTATGCAGTCTGATTCAGTGGTTGACGTTGCAGCTGCAGTAATGGTTCCTGCACCGGAGGGCAACACTTGTGCGAACAGAACAAGCGAAAGCAAAATTATCAACACTGGACCACACACTGACGCACTTGCTGTAAGATTCTGAGATTGCATTTATCATCCAGTTCCATCTCTATTTCATATCATTGTGCTTAGCGGTTTAACTCACTGAGAGCGGTGGTGCACCGTGCCTTAACCCTGTCGTAAGCATCCTTTTGCATGCAGGCGTGTGATCTTGCTCTCTGTGTTTCTGGATCCGTGGTGCTTGAGGTGCTTCGCTCGCAAATACCCCTGGTTGTGACATATAAGGCCCA